AAATAATCTCTTAACCATTATTGACAATAATAGGTGGACTTCCTGTCTTGCCATAGTATTTAAGTTGAAAGTATAAATACGTGTATTTTTTCGTGAATATTTACCATATTTTTTCCTTTTCATCTACTACTATTACCATACATTGGTTTCGTGCGAATGGCCCCGCTGTCACAGCCATACAACTTGAATATAAATAGACAGAAAAGGGTATATTTTAGGTGCAAAGAAGCTATATATGTAAACATCCCAAAGGATGCTTCTTTGCTCTTTTACTTTTTTTGTAAAAAAATATTTTGGGATAAGTACTTTAATCCTAAATAGCAACTTGTGAGTAGAGGTGAGTTGTAGTTAATCGTGTCATTTTGGTCTTGTAGATTTCACGTTTCAGAGATAATTGACCCTGTTAGATTCTATTTTGTTTACTCGTGTTATATTTTTACAATTTACTTACCAAAGTGTATATAATCTTTGCCAAAGCATTTTGGTTAATTTAGTTAACCGCTTCTGTGTATAAGGGCTACTAATGAAATAGTTACGAGAAACAATAGTAATATAATAAAATCAATCAACTAAGTTTAATTAAAGCAACAACCCTTCCTAGTTGCCTAGTTATATTCGGTCATGAGCCCTAACAATTTTTCCTGTGTCTTCGGCAACAGGGCCGGGAGTAATTAGTCGCGTAATTGGGATCGACGATATAAGTTGTGTCCCCATTTAGAGTGCAGTCACGTAGTAAATTTAATTCAGAAGCGAGAAGCGTTCCTCGCCGCCGCCTGGACCGACGAGGAGGTGGCGCACAACAAGAGTTGGTGCGCGACGTGGCGGTGGCCATAATTAAACGCTACCCAAATTACTCTTCGGCCGACTCCCAGTGCCTAATCTACGGTGAAATTAAAAATCCACGTTTGTAGAATTGTAGCAACTGCCTCTGCCATTACCTGGATTCACTTGAATTTTTCCTCGAGCCAAATTTAATAACATATTTCACCCAATAAATCATGTGTAATTTGATAAAGTGAAAAACAGCGTGGCTGTAACTTATAACTATACTTTCTTGACAAAACGTGTACAGAGTTGATTCGTAGGTTTAAATGGAAATGTTATGTATTTGTTGTTACTTCTTCAAATAATGATATATATATTTTTTAATATAATGTAGATAACTTTCTTGAATATAACCGATCCTTTAAAATAATTACACTGCTCATTCTACATTGTATTGTATTGAAGTATTACAAAATTGACTAATTTCATATGGCCAATTTTATTTATCTATAACCTCCTTGATAAATATTTTATCTAACACCGTTATAAAATGTTGTTTTAAATGAATTTTTGACGTTACGAAACGTCACATTTTTCATAACTGTCAGTCCCATTATATAACTGAGTGATGTAATGAATTTTTACATAACTGATTATTAAACCTATCATTTAAAGAAGGAACTTTAAGACTATGAAATAAAAAAACACTTTATTAATAAACTAGAACTCAAAACATAGTTATTCTTTTCATTTGTTTGCATACACATTAACAACAAAATTACTACAAACACAGTCACTAAAATTTATTCCTGAACCTGATGGAATATTTATTTCTTTTTTCTTAGCAGCTATTTCAGAATATATCTCCTCATTATACACCGAACCTGATTGATTTACTTCTCTTGAAACAGCTACCTCAAAATGTTCTCCTAGTATATTATTTGCAATTCTTTTCTTGTTGGCCAAAGAATTTTCGACGTAGCCTTCTGCTACGGTATTGGATTTCCAGCCCCCATACTGCTTAATTTTTTTATATGTTAGCTCCTGAATCTGCGAGCAAGGATGCGGATGACCGCCGGAAGCAATGTCCAGTATAACCTTCGGCATTTGGTAAACCAAGATGTTTTGCAATTAATTTTGGTAAACATCCAAATGTATTTATACCTATAGGTTGTACTCCACATTTATTATTGTATTTAACAAAAAAACGGTCATGCTTTGTATTTTGTAGACGCAGATTGACATATTTTCGAACAATTTCTATTAAATTTTCTCTGTATCCAGAAATATTGATATTTGTGACCACAAATTCCCGTGTCACATTTGTTTTTGTGTTTGGAATAGTAATTTAAAAAAAAATTCTTTATCCACAACATCTCTGATACGCATCTCACACAATTCCGCTTTTCTACAAGCACCGGTAACTCCTATAATCATTACTACCCTAAAATAATCAAGAAATTAAAAACTATAAAGTTTCAAATAGTGACAGTAAATCAAACCTTTGCAAATAAAAGCTTCCCGTCATCAGAATTTCTAATAAAATTTTCAAAGTTCCCTCTTGCAAAAATGAAAGATTTTTTAGCGTGGTAACCTGTAGATTTTCTCTTCAAAAATGCTGTTAATATGGTATATTTTTTGATGTCAATGTTTCTTTTGACATTTAATTCTGCCTTTAACATTGAGTAGGTAGTCCATATTGTAGATGCTTTATAGTTTTTCATCGTTTCGAAGTACGCTAAGAGAACTTTTTCACAAACATCTTTTACTCCTTTTTGTTGACACCAATTTTCAAATTTCTTATATGCTTCTTCGTACCTGCCTTTTGATTTGCCAGGTATTATTGAATTTACTGCTAAATTAGCCGATTCTTCTATATCAGATGGAATATCCATACCTGAATCAACCATTTTCGATTAAATTTGCTTCAAAAAATTCAGCAGATTGACAACTGAGGTTTATTTATACAAATATCAATCTATAGTAACGCTCAGGTAAAGCGATAAACAAAATTTATTTGTACGACTGCAAGCGTAGCTATGTTTGGAACCGCGAAATAGTATTCAAAATAAATTGCCATTTTTTTCCTATTTTAAAGGGGGATTAGATAAAATTTTGTACTTAACACGTTATGAAAAGTAATTTTACTTGACTCATGTAATTTGCAAAACTCGTTCTCTTCGCTCGCTCGTTTTGGCAAATATTACATTCGTCAAATAAAATTAGTCTTTTCATAACTGGTTACGTAAATAACTAATGTCAGTCACTGAAGGTTGTTTTAGTTATGTAATGGACTCTATTACACCACCAGTGGTATAACGAACTCATTACATGACTCATTTTTATTTTTTATTGCAAATATTAATGACATATCATTTGTATTTTGAAAGATTTATACCAGCTGATGTGGTTAGTTGTGCCGTATTGTTACTGCTTATTTCCAATGATGAATCGTTCGTGTAACAACCACTTGTGAGGTTTCGTCTATTCAAATAATCTTTATTGCTACTTTCTTTTTATTTTCCTTCGATGTATCCCTCGGCAACCGTATTTGATTTCCAACCTACATGGCGCTTCATAGTTAAAACGTCTGTTTTCGAGGCTGTAAGCATAGACGTTGAAGAACACCTGAAGCAGTGACCAGTGTACTCTTTGGGATGTGATAAATTCAAAAATATAGCAATGGTTTTTGACATACTGTGCAACGTATTGATGCCAATAGGTAGCTATATACACGACCCTTTCCTATATCCAACGGAAAATATTCCATGATCGGCATGCTTAGGACGTTATGCCAAATACTTTTGAACTATTTCCACTATATTAATTCCTTGGATGCCACCAAATATTACAAAATTTCTTGGAAAATTTTAGTTTTGGTGTTTGGGATTTCTATACGAAGAACTGACCCTTCCATTCTTAACATTTTCTAAAAGCAGTTTAGTGAGATTTTCTTTTCTGCGTGGTAAAGTAATTCCAATTGTCAATACAACGTGGAAAGAATATTACGGTTAAAATTATATGAAGACCTAAAAATTTAGTTTTTATATCATGTCATGTCACGTTCATATAGTTTGTCAATTTTTATTGTGTAGATTTTTGCAAAAGTAAAGAAATAGGGGATTCAGATTACACCAAGATTATAGACTTTTTTTCTTCACAATAAACAAATTTATGGATGTATAGAGAAATATTTTATGCATACCTTAGTAAGAAAGAAATTGTTCATCGTCAGGTTCTTTCAGGAACCTCACAATCTAATATTTTCGACTTCCTATGTCTATGCTCCTCTGACTGCCTTTATAAAAATGCAATGAATTGACTGCATTGGCTTATCTCCACATTTTTTTTCATAGACATAGTTGCCTTCACTATTGAATAGAAGGCCCAAAGTAGTTTTTCGGCAAATTATTGAAGTGTGCTAGCAAAATGTTCTCAATCGTTTGAGTTTTCGCATTTTCCGCATCACACCATTTAACGAACAGCTCATAACCTTTTTTCATACTTCAGTCTTGATATTACTAGCAATTAAGTAATATTAGTTAACATAACAACTACTCAGCCGAAATTCCGATTTTAGTTCCCGTGGCTTTGACGTTAGTTGTATGATGTACACCACACCTACGTAGTGCTTCTGTTGGCTTCAAATTGGTTATTTATTATCTACATTCTTTTTGCCTTTAATATTGTTCCAGTGGCACCAGCTCAATGCGATTCGCGCAGTTAAATCTGATTGACTGAAGTTAAATATTATTCATTTAAATCTTCTTGTAAGTAACCCACACAAATAGTTCTGAGGATGAAAATAATAATAATGGTAATAATAATAAATTGCCTTTATTAGGAGAAAATTGTGTTATACAATTTTTTCACCAGAAATTTGGCGTAGTCTAGCTGAAGTTACTCAACTTAACCTATTTTAACAACTTAAAAAGTAAGTATACAAACCCAAAAAAAAAAACCCAAAGTGTAATAAACTAAATAAACTATTCTTAAATTGGTATTAAATTTAATAAATACCTAACTGATGATAATATGTGTTATAATGGAAATTAGATAAAACTGTGTATAAGAAAAATAGAATTTTAAACACCACATTACAAGTAATACAACTCACTGTATCCCTGAAGGTATTTCAAGGCACCTTGTGTAGGAGAGGGCTACACATTTAGAGACAATGGATACACACCCAATATTCGAGTATGTTAGGATTAATTTCTAGGTTACAAAAATCCTAGCTCCTTGACCGGGTGTCGAACCCGGGACTCCAGCGTAAGAGACAAGTGTTCTTACCACTCGACTACAAAGCCACAGGATTAGTTTCATTGTAATTTACGTAGTGTTGTTTAACTCTGGCATGAAATTTATTTACTGATAATACTTTCATACTTTGATAAAGACTATTTTACAATTTAATAGTGTTATAAGAAAATGAACTCTGAAACATAGCTGTACGATGTTTAGGCATTGACAACTTATCGAAAACTCTTAAATTTGCATTATCCACTTATATCACAGTATTATTGTCTATTTAAGAAAGCAGTTTCTTATTATTTATTAGCCAAATCCCTAATAATCTGCCAAACAATTGCAGTACATTTGCCCAGTTATTTCAAATAGCGGAGAAAATTAATATTTTCTGTCATTGTGATCCATCTTGATCCATTATGATCTTGATCATAATAAACGGATAATCCAAATAGTCGAAACAAATTGTGGAGCGTCATAGTTTTCTACAGCTACAATTTGATGTGCAGCCCTTCGCGCGTTTATCGGAAATCTTTTTGAGATGTTTTCCCAGAGCGGGATGAATTCTATGCTAGGAATTAGATGAATGTTCTTGTACGACTGTTGAAATTTACGATAGATTCGAAAAGGGTGTTGACTTGCAGCTGTATCAATTAAGGGATATAGAAATAATATAACATTTTGCAAAAGAAGGAATAGAAATTCATACAGAAATTCGAATGCAAATAAAATGTATTGCAAAGTTCAATAATTTAAAATGTAAAACAGACGTGATTCTGACAAATTAATCAATATTAAAAATTTTCTTTTTCTAAAATAGAAACAGAAAGAAGGATTATATCGTTAAGCTCATTTTCCTACTTTCATAAAAACAAATAAACAATCCCGACGTGAATGAACTTTATTGTTGTCTATACAAAGTGTTATTATATCGAAACCTCATTTTCTTAGGAAGTGATTGCTGGTCAAAAAGTTGCATTTGTGTTTTAACATAGTAGAAATTGATCAAAGAAATAAAAAGCAAAGAAAGTTTCCCTCAGAACAGTTTTCTCAGCATAGGTGGATAGATGTTATTTATGCCAAAGGAACGGTATATGTCTCCCCCACCACTCTCCATTTTTGTGATAAAAAATGAAAATTTCTTAAAAAACCATTAATAACTCGTTTTATATCATTATGAAAATATCTGATGTGGCCAGCACATAACTTTCTTATACCAGTATATAACATCCTGATCTAAAAAATTCATTCTATTTAATTCTTACCTCAGTTATATTTTAATATTGTACCTTGTAATGTTTCATTAATATTTTTAAAAATTAATTATCAGTGTCGTTCGATACTGTCAATAATAATTCATGTCATATATTTTAATAATATTTTCTTATTGACATTGACATTTTTGTAACTAAATTAGACATTTTAAATGTCAAACTGCTAAATTTATCCTCGCCCCATTTTATAATAATAATAATAATAATAATAATAATAGATTTATTGCCCAACAGACTAATCCAATTACAGGACAATATACATCACACATGATAATACTAATACTAAAAACTATACTAGGAATGAGTACTGTCTATGCAGTAACTAATACATACTAAAAAAATAAAAATAACATCAGTATAGCGTAAATTGCAAATTATTATTAAAGACCTAACTTATTAGACTTAAACGATTATTAAAAACTTAAGATTATTATTAGAGATTAAAACTATTATTAAAGACATAACAATAGTTTCAAAATAATACTGAGGATTTCAATAAACTGTTGTAACGGTCTTGATGTACTGACTTAAACGTGTGCTAAATATATCACATTGACTGCTTAGCTTGTTATGTAGTTCCATCATGGAGTAAATGGGAGACTTTTTAAGAATATTAGTACGGCTAGTGGGACAATAAAATAGAACATCTTGACGTGCTCCTGATCTCGGGATTCTGAAATTAATTTTCGATAATAGCGTTGGACAATCAATTAAATGGTTAAGTAGTTTATATAAAAATACTAAAGTAATTAGGATTCTTCTATTCTCTAATGATTTCATGTATAGTCTTGAAAGTAACAGAGTGTTTGGATATCCCTGCTCTGGATAGTTCGTATCAATTCTGAAAACTAAATACTTCATAAATTTTCGTTGAACTTTCTCTACTGCTTGCGAGTGAACGTTATAAATTGGATTCCAAAGTATCGTACCATATTCAAGTTTTGATCGTACCATTGAGAAATACAACGTTTTAAGTACATCTACATTAGAGAATTGCTTACAATTTCTTATTATAAAGCCTAGTAATTTTAATGCCGAATTTGTGGACGAGTCAATATGTTCTATGAAGTCCAGTTTAGAGTTGAATAATACTCCCAGGTCCTTAGTTGACTGAACTCTTGACAATTCTGTGTCATTGAAGGTATACAAGAACTCTATAAAACTTATCTTACGCGTGTACGTTACTACCTTGCATTTTGATACGTTCATATCTAATTTGTTAGAAGTACACCATAATTCGAGTTTGCGTATTTGCTGTTGTAAAGTTAGGCAGTTCTCGATGCTGCTGATTTCACTAAATATTTTTAAATCGTCTGCAAATAAAAGTTTTTCGCAATCTAACATATCACATAAATCATTTATAAATATAATAAACAAAAGTGGCCCCAAGTTTGAACCTTGGGGCACCCCTGATGTTGCAAGGTAAGTATTTGACTTAAAACCATTATATTGAACATATTGGAACCTGTTTTCCAAATATGATATAAAGAAATTTAATATTAAATTACTCAAACCAATATAATTTAATTTTTCAATTAATAACTTGTGGTCTATACGGTCAAAGGCTTTTGAAAAGTCAGTGTACACTACGTCTACCTGACCTCTGTTATCCAGTGATTCAGAGACAAACTGAGTTAAGCAAGCTAGGTTTGTTACTGTAGAACGTTTCTCCATAAAGCCATGTTGGTGAGTGGAAATTGAATTCTTTACTCCAGAATAAATTATGGCATATACTGAGGCCTCAAAGACCTTGGCAAAATTGGGTAGGATTGAGATCCCTCTATAGTTTTTTACATCTGCTACATTTCCGCTCTTGTAAATGGGACATACTTTTTGCCAGCTTCTAACATTCGGGAAAGGTAGATGTTCGCAATGCAATATTAAATAGAGTTCGGAGTGGGGTGATAAACACATTAGCGCAGTCTTTAATTAAAAAACTGGGAATTTGATCATGTCCCGCTGTCAATTTGTTTTTTAGCTTTTTGATACCTTGCCTGATGTCCGTTTCCGATAACTGGTCAATATTTATGGATGGTTGGTTACTTATAATATCAGAGGATAGCATGGTGTCAGTCGGTGGTAGATAAACGCTACTAAAGAATTGACCAAAATTATCTACAATGTCTTGCGGGTTGTCAATTTCCTTTTCATTGTAATACATTCTACCGGGTATTCTAGTAGTGCCTTTTTTATTGTTTATGTAGGACCAGAATTGTTTAGGGTCAACAGTTAGTGTGTTTTCGATATTTTCTATGTAATTTTTGTACGCATCATTGGTTTGTAATTTAATTAGTGATCTTAGGCGCTTATACTCTTCTAATGTATTTGCATCGTTGTATTTTTTGTATTTTTTGCGGTGCTTATCTCTCCGCTTCACGTTCTTTATTATTTCAGGTGTGTACCATACAGGAAATTTTCTTTTTTTATCTTTAAATTTCGGAACATGTACGTCAAAAATTGAGGCCAAATGTGTAAAAAAATTCAATTTATACAAGCTTTATTTAAGTACTTGAAAAATATATTTTATTGATTTGATCTAGTAGACATGATTTATAATATTCTATCAAGAAATAGTTTTTTTTGCATAAACAAATACAAAAAAGTTTGGGTCCCATGGACCTCCTCTCAGCTGGCCAATTTTGCTCATCATCGAATTTATCATTGCCTTTGGCCTTTACAGCGGTGTATCAAATTTGAAAGCTTTATCTCAAAAATTGTGGCTACTATCGCGATACTATAGAAATGCAGACTGATTTTTTCCACAAAGTTATGTTTTTTTATTACAATTCGTCAAGATTCGTCCAGAAATGCAATAAAAATATTTTAATTTTTTTTCCGAAATTGTACCTTTTTTTCTTCTTTCATTCATTATGTCTCTTCTAGTAGTACCACATTCACCAAATATAATGTGTCACCTAAAATGTTGTTGAAAATCTTAATTGCCAAATTTGGGAAGTCTCCAATTAGTACTTTTTGAGTTGTCGTGGCCACACACACACACACACACACACACACCACACACACACACACACACACACACACCTACGCACAAGCATACGCACACGCACACACATACCGACAGACATCATTCGGATAGTCAGAATGGATTCAGGAGGGTTCAAAACGTATATATCAATAAAAATCTCGAAGTTGAAAAAAATCACGATTACTACTTCCTTATATTAGGTATAAGGAAGTAAAAACATCAGGTCAAAAGTTTTTCTAAATTGAACTTCTTATAGGAGTAGGTCTCTTAGTTTTTAATATTATTTTTTAGTTCATTTAAAAATTTAATAAATAAAAACATATATTTCCCAAAAAATTTTATTTAGTCTGTTTCGTTACGTCAGCAAAATTTAACATTACTATTCATCCTACTAGGAAGTGCAAGTTTACACTTTTAGGTTCGGTTTTACAATCGTGAGTTAACTAGAAGTTGGGGGTTAACTAGCACTATATTTTCATAAAAATCGATGAGATTCAAATAGAAATCACTTCAACTAAAAGTAAACTTTTGCATAAAATATTTGTTATAATCGCTTCCAATACAAATGTAAAATTGAAAAAATTCGAATTCTAAAAGTGCGAGTTTAGCTAACCCACGATTGAACAACGGGGCCTGAACGTGTTTGTCATCAAGTTCAAAGTTGACATAACATAATTTGCACACACTTAACACGGTTAAAAATGAGATCAAACATAAACGTATGAAACCTGTAACTGATATATTTTTTTTTATGATGTTTGCTTTGAATTGCTTTTACAATTACTGGAAGAGGATCCCATCA